CTACCTCCATTATTACATTCAATGTTATGAGTATTCCAAGATGTTGATATTAGTGTTTCATTAATTATTGATTCAATCATATAAATACTACTTTCATGTCCATTACAAAAGTTGATTTTAATTTCTTTTGTTGTTCTAATATCAAAAATTACAGCTTTTCATATCATTAATTCTTCTCTTCTTTTAAATCTATTTAAGTATTAACAAACCATAATTAAATTCTTTGACTATATTGTTAATTGAAACAAATCCTGTCTCCCAATCTTTTGTTTCTCCTTCTTCTTCATATGGAAATTTTTCAATTAATTTGATAGATGGAATGGCAACGCAATACCAAATAAGGAGGATTTCAATAAGAACATTCATCTTTATTTTTTTAGTTAATTTGAACCAAAAAAAGAAAACAATAATTTTATTGTAAAACTTTTTGTTAATGGTTTTGAAAAAAAACACAAATAAAAATATGTTATTTAAAATACAATCTTTAGTTTTGAGTTAGTTGATTCAACAAAATCATCTTCAAAATCTGTATCGTTATCTAGAAATACTCTTGAAAAATACCCCATTGGAATTGAAATGTCTTCTTCTATATTTGTGAATTGAGTGTTATTTACTGAAAATAAGAAAATAGATGTTTCTCTAAATTTTGTATAAGTAATTTAAAATAGCTTGTTGTTACAAAGTTCAAATTAACTTTTATCTTCAGATCCTTTATTCCTATTGGCAGTATGTTATGTTAATGGTTTTGATTTTCTCCATTCCAAAGTAAGGTCATTTAATGTTCAATAATAATTAAATGACAATTCAAACAAATACCGAAATGAATTAAGAGTTTAATTTGTTTTGTGATAAAGAAATGAGATAAATAACAAAATATAAAAATGTAATATATAGCAATAATCTAAAATAAAAAGAATAAAAATCAATTAGAGAAAGTTAAAAAATCATCAAAACAATTTTTGGAGTAAGCTTAAATAAAAAAAAATTATGAAATAATAATTATTAATTTAGGAGGGTAAATGATTGTTAACATTCCATCATAAAACAAGCAGTCCAAAAAAAGTTCGCTTTTAAAAGAGGATTTAAAAAAGAAGAAAAGAGAAAAAATAACAAAGTTGCATTCATGCCAACACAACAAGAATTCAAAAGGAGGAAGTTAAAAAGAACGAAAATAAACTGAACAAAAAGTAAAAAACCAAACAACGAAATACACTATATTTATCCTTTTTTTCAGAGAAGAAGAAAATTAAGAGGTTAGAACTAAAAATCAAATGAAAGGTGATAGTAAGAAATCCAATAAAAAGACATTCAAATTATTTTATGATTCTTTAGTAAATGACTTAAGTCAAATTCAAAGGTATGGCTATATTCATTTCTTATAATTTTTTTTTATTAATAATATAATATGTTATTTATATCACAGTTATAGTTTTATCAAACCTGATATTACTCCAATTCATGCTTTTGTTTCAGGAGAATATGATCCAATTTATCCAATTATCAGTTCGAGTAATCATTATGCATTTACATCAATGAGTACATACCCAATTATAAATGGTAAAAAGATAGGAAATCCAATTTGTGATTATTATCAATTACTTCTTTATAATAATACTATTATCCAATGTCTATGTGATGGGTGTAGTATTGGTATTGCACCAAAGTTGGCTGCAACAGCTGCTGGACAGGCTGCAGTTCAATCACTTGCAAGAGAAATTAGAGAATGTTCAAATATTAAAGAAATAGCAGAAGGCATGATTAGAGCTATTTCAGATGCACATGACAATATTTTTGTTGTTGCAGAAAATGAAAAGAAATCATATCTTATTGGGGCTACAACAATTCAATTACAAGCAATTGTTCAGTTAGATTCTAGAGATAAAAAATTTGGCATTATTACATTAAACATTGGTGATTGTAGATCGTATTTATATTCCAATTCAACACTTCGTACGATTTATAATTATTCTTCTCGTGAAAGTTTGAGCGGTTTGTTATAATTTTTATGATATTTTTTAAAGAGTGAATTTAACTGTTCATCATTTGGTAGATGTTTCTAATTCACAAGGAAGAATTGGTAATGGTAAAGAAGGAGCACCTGATTTAGGTAATGCCTCTTTAACATATAGTGAATGTTATGATGGAGATCTAATATTTATGTGTAGTGATGGGATAAATGATAACTTTGATCCTGAAATTATTGGGGTATCATCAATTGGAGAAAGCAAACACGATAAAATTAAATCAATTGAAAATTCTATTGAGCAATATGTAATTCATTCTAATACTCTTTCTGAAACTATAGAATCAATTGGGGAAT